CATTCCAGTTATAATAAGGGTATTCATCCCAACTAGGGTCAAGATTGTGTCCATATGAATCCTCATACTTGTATGGACTAGAAATAGAGTGAGACTGTTCAAAATACGAACCATAGGAAAAATACATACTTGCTTAATAGTCAACCCATAGATGATTTCCACCGCATTTAAAACACATATGAGACCGCTGATAATATTTAGCTGCTAACTCTTCGACCGTTTTCTTAGGCTAGTTGTACTCCATCTTCACAGCATATAGAGTTCAATATATATCGTATATTCTCCAACTTGTTAGGAACTACAAAACAAATCTTGAAAAGAAGTTAACTAATAAAGAAAATAAAATAAGAAATAAAAAGAAACACAACAAAAAAACTGTATTTAATGAAAAAACAAATTCTGAAATTAGCACTACAAACTATTTCAACCATCAGCTGCTACAGTGCGAAACAGTATGATGAATAGTGCCAAACAGTGGCACGAACGGTGGTTTTGCTACCGTTTCACTGCTACAGTGTAGTGAACAGCAGCATCGCTTCACTGTTCATCGCGGAAAGCTGTGAGTTTGAGCTTCAATTGCCGCGATGGTCGGCGACCAGCCATCTTTTCCGGCTGGTCTGCCCTCCTCCAACATCACCCAACCACAAACAACACCAACTATCAATCCACAAACTCTAGATTACTCAAAGATTTTGACACCCAACTCAACCAATCCTCCTGCGATGACTGCTGCCCAAGCTTCAGTGCAGCCCATCGCCAAATCATCTACGATAACAAACAACAATCCCCAATCCATGGATTATTCAAAACTTTTAAAACCTACTGCCATTAATGCCCCTATGCAAACCTTCGCCACGCTACCATTGCAAACAGTTGAGTTCCTTCACGGAGAACCAATTGTGAAGTGGAAGAAATAAGAAGTGAAGCAATCTATCGTACAACAAGGACTTCTACTTGCAGTTCTTGGGAAATTTTCGTATGGGAAGCATGTTATTAGTGAATTACGTAAAGTGATTCCAATTTAATGTGAGATTAAAGGCCATTGCGCAGTTGGTTTAATTGAAGATAATCATGTGTTGATTAGGCTGTCTTTATTGGAGGACTGTGTTCATCTTCTTTCAAAGCCAACTTTTTATTTAAAAGCTCAGTCATACATGTGGCAGATGCGTTGTAGAAAATGGAATCAGTGGTGGACACCTGATGAAGAGACTCCCATTGCCGTTTCTTGGATTAGCTTTCGAGAACTGCCTCCTAATTTCTTTGGGAAGGAATGTGTATTTTCCTTAGCTCGTGCAGTTGGTAATCCATTACATGTAGACCTAGCCACACAAAATGGGACTAGACCTAGTTGTGCTAAGGTGAAGGTGGAAGTTCACTTGTTAAGTAAGTTCCCTCATCGTATTAAGATTGTGGAAGAAGCTGATGAATCTCGACCAGAAGAGTTCAAGTGGATCAAGATTAAGTATGATTATATGCCAAAATATTGCAAATCTTGCAAAAAACAGGGGCATAGTGAGGTAGAATGCTAGGTAATTCATCCTGAATTACACAAGAGATTTGAAGAAGGTGTTAAGGAAAAAAGCAAGGAGAAGGTAGTTGTGGTGAGTTCTGATGCAATTGGGACTGCTGCAAATTCAACAAAGGTCCTAACTAGTGGAAAGGTGGTTGGTAAGCCTACTACTAATCATGCCAAGCGTGAATGGATGCAAGCAAGGAAGAACAAATACCAACGAGATAGTAGGGGTCACATTGTTGTTAACAAGCAAGGAAAGGAAGCTGACAAGGGTAAAGGGAAGGCCAAAGTTGAGGAAGTTACAACCAAGAACAAGTTTAATGCACTAGAGGTTGAGGAAGTTCATCAGCCTACTCTACAAATTACTGAAGGCAAAGGTGAGGATCATAGCAATGGTAAGAAGAAGGAACATGGGGAAAATCAAGCTACGAAGGGCCAGGATAAGAAAAAGAAAGTCAATACTCAAGATGATCAAGAATTATCTAAAGCTAATTCTAGTGTTCCTAGTGATCAACATACTGTTGAAAGGGCTAATAAGGAATCCACATTCGACTGGATTCATAGAAGGTTTGGGACTAGCAATGAGGAACTAAAACAACTCAATGTGACCACATACCAATCTTGTCATGAGATTCCATCTCAAACATTTAAAGATGCTGGGCAGATTGAGGATCTTGATGAGGCAAACTCTACAAAGGTCTTATGGAGTGATGCAGTTGAGGTTAAGGATGATCAGCTGGGCAAAACTAAGTCAACAGAAGACAAAGTGAAGAAGGACCACGAGCCTAACTCACCTGGCGATAGGCAAGTGACGCCAGGCTCACCAGGAGTTAGGTTGGCGACGCCAGGGCTAAATCCAGGGTCCCTAGGCGTTAGGCTGGCAATGCTAGGCCTAAAGCTAGGGTCCCCAAGCATTAGGCTAGAGATGCCAGACCTAAAGCCAGGGTCCCCAGGCGTTAGGCTGGCAACGCCAGGCCTAAAGCCGGGTTCTTCTGATGAGGCAGCTACAGTAAACCCCAACCTTAGTGCAATTGGAGAGATTTTGGCCTATATAGATGGTGTTCTGATGTATGCATCAAAGAACATACTTGATGGAGATGTTGATATGAAGATTAGGGATGATATAGTGGGTTTAGACCAAATTTCAGGCAATGGGAAGGGTGGTGATCTCACTAGAACAGTGCTTTTAGAGCAGACTGCTACAGTAACTCCTGGGCTAGGCAGCATCTATGAGCTACAATTCAAGGAGTATGAACAGGCTGATGAGCGGGCAATTGTTCCAAGAGCATCTAGGGAAATAGAGGAAGTGCCTATGGCATCTGGCACTGATCAAATTATACAGCTACATCTTAATGTTCCAGTTAAGACTCCTCTACAACATTTATATGATTTAGTTACACATAATGTGACACCGATTGATGAAGACTTATTGAGACAAAATCCAATGGAGGATGAAGGAGATGACGAATCAACTGCAGAAAACTTCAAACAAGTGGCTAGGGAAGGGGATTTATCACCCACAACTAGTGCTATAAGAGGTAAAAACTAAGAAGAATCAAAGTAAAGATACACCACAACCTTCAAGAATAATTCCAAAGAGGGAAGCTTCTCTATCTAAATGATGATGATCAAAACATTAATATGGAACATAAGGTCTGTGAATACATAACATGCCTTTCCTAGGGTGATCAACATGAATATGGAGCATAATTTTTGTGTAGTTGCATTGATTGAGCCTTTTCAAAAGAAGGGACTCATTGATACATATAAAAGGAGGTTGAATATGGAGACTGCTTATGCAAATATTAATGAGCAAATATGGTTGTTCTTCAATGCAGTGGTGGAATGGGAATTAGTGGAGGATACTGAGCAACAAGTGACTGTGAGAGTGTTTCACCATGACCTGGGGCAGCACATGATGATGACATTTGATTATGCAAAATGTTCAGCAATGGAGAGGTTGGATTTATGGGATCGCTTGTATTACTTAGCAAGTGATGTGGAATTACCATGGTTGGTAAGAGGGGATTTTAATGTGTTACTGCATGAAGATGATAAAATAGGGGGACTTCCAGTACTCCCTCCTAAATATGAGGATTTTGCATTTTCTGTAAACTCTTGTGGTTTGTTTGAGCAAGGGTACAAAGGAAGACCATTCACATGGTGGAATGGGAGATTTAATGTTGAGTGAATATTCAAGAGATTGGATAGGATTTTTGTGAGTTTTCCATTTCAGAACATGTTGCCAACTATTGAAGTTGAGTATCTAATCAGAACTGGATTAGATCATGCACCATTGCTAATCACATGTAGGATGCAGGCAACTAATTTTGTCAAGCCTTTCAGATTCTTGAACTTTAGGACAAAGCATGCTACATTTATGGATGTGGTGAGGTTGAATTGGGAAGTTGATTTCATAGGGGATTCATTTTTGATGTTCAAGCAGAAAATCAAGAGGGTGAAGGCAGCACTCTCAAAATGGAGTAGGGAAACATTTGGTGATATTTTCAAGCAATTGGCTATTTTGAAGGACATTGTTACGGTGAAAGAGATGTTGTTTGAAGACGAGCCTACAACTGAGAATATGATTGTGCTTCAAAAGGCTCAATCTGAATTGAAGAAATACTTGAGTAATGAGGAGCAGTATTGGAAGCAAAAAGCTGGGATGACTTGGTTTGTTGAAGGAGATAAGAATACAAGTTTCTTTCACAATCATGTCAATGGCAAAAGAAAGAAATTGCAACTGAAGAGGATCAAAAGTGGCAGTGGGGTATGGATTGAAGACCAGGAGCAATTGGCTACAGCTGCAGTGGACTTCTATCAAAAACAGTTCACAAATGAAGGTGATGCTTCTGAATTCTCCTTGCTCAATAATGTACCTTCAATGGTCACTATGGATCAGAATTTGGAACTTAGCAGATTGCCAACCATTGAAGAAGTAAGAGCAACAGTTTTTGAGCTTAGTGGGGAGAGTGCTAGTGGTCCTGATGGATTCACTGGCTTGTTTTATCAAACATGCTGGGATGTTATTGGTGCTGATATACACAACATGGTGCTACACTTCTATGGAGGAATTGCATTGCCTAAATCCATCACTCACACCAATGTAGTGTTGCTGCCCAAGAAACCAAGAGCTGAGACCTTCTCTGACTTAAGACCTATTAATTTGAGCAACTTCATTAACAAGGTCTTGTCTAGGGTGTTACATGACAGATTGGAGAGTTTTTTGCCATCTCTAATAGCTCCTAATCAATCCGGATTTGTAAAGGGTAGGAGTATATTTGAAAACATCTTATTAACTCAAGAAATTGTCACTTACATAAGGTTAAGGGGAAAGCCAGCTAATGTGGTGATCAAGCTAGATATGGATAAGGCCTATGATAGGGTTTCATGGAAGTACTTATTGCATGTGCTAAGGAAGATGTGATTTTCTGAACACTTCATCAACATGGTATGGAACTTGATGTCAAATAACTGGTATTTAGTAATGGTGAATGTGCAGTCCTCGGGGTTCTTTAAGTCGACTAGGGGTGTGAAACAAGGGGATCCCCTATCTTCAGCATTGTTCATTCTGTCAGCTAAGGTACTTTCTAGGTCTTTGAATAAGCTTTTTGAAGACAAGTCATTTGTGGGATTTGGAATGCCTAAGTGGTATGATCCTTTAAACCACTTGGCATATGCTGATGATACGATAATCTTTGCATCTGCTCATCCTACCTTTTTTAGCAAGATTATGGTAGTGTTGGGGAACTATGATAAGATATCAGGTCAGATGATCAACAAAGATAAGAGTTCATACTACATGCATTCAAAGGTTGCTAATGGATTGTTTCAGGCAATTGGAGCTATTACAGGATTTGCAAGAGGTAAATTCCCCTTCACATATCTAGGGTGTCCTATTTTTAACACTAGAAGGAGGAAGGACTATTATGAGGATCTTATCAAGAAGGTGAATGCTAAATTGCATTCATGGAAAGGAAAGCTGCTATAATTTGGAAGAAAGGCAACACTCATCTCTAGTGTGTTGCAAAGTATGCCAGTTCACATGTTATCAGTCCTTGATCCACCAAACAGCATCCTGGGGCATCTACATACTACTTTTTCTAGGTTCATTTGGAGCATAAAGGAAGAAGGGAGAAGCAGACACTGGGCTTCATGGCAAAATCTTTGCCTTCCTAAAGAAGAAGGGGGGCTAGGTTTTAGGTCCTTAAATGATGTCTCTAGGGCACTGTTTGCTAAACTATGGTGGAGGTTTAGGACCACAAAATCTTTGTGGTCTAATTTCATGTGGAATAAGTATTGCAAGACGGAGCTACCAACAGTGGTGCATTTTAGGGGAGGGTCTCATGTTTGGAGACAAATGCTGAATGCTAGGGAAGAAGTAGAACATGAGATCGTATGGGAATTGAATAGTTGAACAACTAATATTTGGCATGAAAATTGGACTGGATTGGGTGCACTTTATCACGTTTTACCTGAAGACTTTCCAATCAATGAAGGTCTTAGGAGGTGGCAGAACTGCGGCAAGGGGAAGCATGGGATGATCAGCTGCTAGATCAAACTTTCAATGAGGAAATTGCAGAACATATACGGCTAAATGTACACTATTAAGGCAGTGAGGGATATTGGGATAGGCCATACTGGATGCCAACTCCTTTAGGCAAGTTTGGTGTTAGCAGTGCTTGGCAAATATTAAGGCGTAGGGCTGATCCTAATCAGGAATTCAAGTTAATGTGGATTAAAGGTTTGCCATTCAAGATATCCTTCTTCTTGTGGAGATTGTGGAGGCAGAAAATAGCCACCGATGACATGTGGAGGAGGCAAGAGCAAATGGTGATGTCTAGGTGTTGATGTTGTCAGCAGCCCCAAGAGGAATCCATTGAACATATATTTGTCACAAGTCCTATTGCCTCTAAGGTATGGAACTTGTTCATGGGGGCTACTAGAATTTCTGTGCAATTGATTCAATTGAAGCAGATTATAAGGCATTGGTGGTATGCTCAGTGTTGTCCAAAATTAAAGCCATTATTTCAAGCAGTACCAGCTATCATCACTTGGGAGATTTGGAAGAGAAAAAATGCAGGTAAACATGGTGGTTCAGTGTCCATAAATAGGGTGATTCATGAGATAAATAGGACATTGCATCAACGGCAAGGGTGAGGTATTTTTGGATCCCTAATATTCCAGTGTTATGGCCAGACATGATCCAATACTTTGAAGGATATAAACCTATATTGATCACTACAAGAGTAACATGGCAGCTTCCCTTTCATGCTTGGTACAAATATAATACTGATGGACCTTCAAAGGGAAATCTTGGACCTAGCTCCCTAGGTTTTTGTGTGAGGGATGATGAAGGTGACGTGGTGTATGCTATGGCAGTAGACCTGGGAGTGACAACTAATGTGGTGGCTGAAGCTAAGGCTATTCTTCAAGGGTTGGAATATTGTGTGGAGCATGATCTTCACCCTCTCATACTGGAGACTGATTCAATGGTGATAAAGAAGGCGATAAAAGGGGAATGGGATCCTCCTTGGGTAATGGCACAGGATGGGAAGAAAATTAGAGAGATGAAGGACAACTTCAATGTGATCTTTCAACATGTGTTCAGAGAAGGCAACTTAGTGGCAGATTTTATAGCTAACATTATGTTCTCTTTTGTAGGTACGTCTGAGTTTCATTCATTCTCTGAACTGCCTAGTGCAGGGAGGAGGTTGATCAATCTTGACAAATCTCAATCACCTAACCTTAGAGTTAGGATAGCAAAGAGAAGAACCCCAGACTTATAGCTTCACAGGATTGGACTCTGCACAAACTGATATGTCCAAATGCTAAGGAAAATGCTGAACCCATCATATGGTATTTTTGGAGATTTTTGAATCATTTCTCAGTGGTATTAGCATGCTTTCATGCTCAATCTGAGGATGGTCTAGCAATGTTTAGAATGATGTCTTCATTAAAGGTTCTAGTAGGAAAGGATCTGTGCTTACAAGATACAAAGAGGCATAATTTCAAAGACTGGCCTTTGTCATGCAAAGCCTACTTAAAGCCAGCTCATTCCTGGCTTTTGCCTTGTAAAGCCAGCCTAAAGCCAGCTCATGCCTGGCTTTTGCATTGTAAAGCCAGCCTAAGGCCAGATCATGTCTGGCTTTTGCCATGTAAAGCCTGGCTAAAGCCAGCTCACGCCTGGCTTTTGCCTTGTAAAGCCTGGCTAAAGCCAGCTCATGCCTGGCTTTTGCCCTGCAAAGCATGCCTAAAGCCAGCTCATGCCTGGCTTTTGCCCTGCAAAGCATGCCTAAAGCCAGCTCAAGCCTAGCCTTTGCCTTGTAAATCATTCCTAAAGCCAGCTCATGCCTGGCCTTTACCTTGCAAAGCCTGCCTAAAGCCAGCTCATGCCTGGCTTTTGCCTTGCAAAGCCTGCCTAAAGCCAGGCTCCTCTTCTACACATTAATTTTGATGAGTGAGCACATGATTAATACTAGAAAAAAAACCAATCCACTGCATATGGATATCATATAATAGCTACACTTGGAAGACTATTCGGGCTTCAACCCTGTGGTGGAGATGTTTGGAATTCATTTTAGCCTATGGACAATATACACTGGCGCCTGGTGAGAGCTTGATAGGTGCTGCTCGGTATTTGCCAATGACAATTGGATTCACATACACTAATAGGAGAATGAAGTATCCAATTTATCATGTTGTAATAGCTAGTTCATTAGATTTTAGATTTTCTATCTTTTTAATAGCTAGTAGCTTCATGCAACTTCTATTTTGGTTTGGACATCTTGTAAGATTTGGACCCATTTTGGTATTTTATTTATATATTAGCCACTAGGCAAGAGCTGCCGAGTGGTATAGTAGATTAAAAAAAAACTATTTCAACCACTATTGATTGCAAATCCCTAGCAATGTCTTCAAAATTTGACGAGCGCCTAACACACACTAAAATATGCTCGCCAGTCGAATATAGTATAATATAATATTGTATCCACAATGATTGGAGTTAAATAGTATTTTCATAGTTTATAGCTTGATTGCTATCCAAGATGATTAACAATTGAGTGTTTATATGATTTAAACTAAGATTAACTAAGAGTCTAAACTATTTACTAGTGACAATAATTGCAAGTATTAAGCAAAGAAAGTTATCAATTGGCAGAAGATAGGGTTGATAGGATAGGTGCAAGATAAATGATTGAGATTTAAATCAAGATAATTCACTTCTAATGTTCAAGTGAGTCTCTCGAATTCACTTGGTTATTAGTTCAATTGATTAGTAGAAGCTCCTCTCTCGATTAAGTCTCAACCTTATGAGATGAACCAATTTTAAGCACGTGAAGATATACAAGAATTCGTATTGGATTGATCTTTAGGAGAACCTCTCTCGATTATCCTCCTAACTAAGTTTAATAAATAATTCAACTAGCCTCTTCCGGTTACTAAGAAAAATTAATGACTTCAACCAACAAAGTATAATGCAACAATATCACAAGTTATGCCTCTCTCGATTACATTAACAAGTGTATATAGATGCAACAATTAAGACATCAAAAACGGTTTCAATATATAAAGCTAGAGTTAATTATCCACAAACAAGTATCAATACACCAAATCCATCAAACCCTAAAGAGAACTACTCCATGGATGTAATGACCCGACCGGTCGTTTTGAGCCCTAGCGCATCGTTCAGCGGTTTGAGGCCTTGAGTAGCTTCACTTTAGGTATTATTACTTGTACGTGTGGTCGGAATTTAATTTCAGAAAAATCCGAAGTTGATTTAGAAAGACATATCTCATTTCGGAAACTTTAAGTTGTAAGAATTTACTAAGGTGTGATTTTTGAGTAAACGGCCTCAGAATCGGGATTCAAAGGTTCCAACAGGTTCGTATGATGATTTTAGACTTGGGCATATATCCGGATTGTGTTTTGGATGAACCGGGAGCGTTTAAGTGCCTATTGTGAAAAGTTGGCATTTTGGAAGGAATTCATAAATTTGGGTTGAACAGCATTTCAATGTCATCGATGTCCGATTGGGATGCCGAGCCTGGGAATAGTTCTGTATGGTGATTCTGCACTTAGGGGCGTGTCCGGAAGTGGATTTGGAGGTCCGTAAGTCCTTTCGGGGTCTTCTGGCGAAGAATGGAAATTTGAAGGTTTTTGGAAAGTTTGACTGGGAGTGAACTTTTTGATATCGGGATCGGATTCCGATTTTGATAGTAGGAATAAGTCCATAACGTCAATCATGACTTGTGTGCAAAATTTGAGGTCAATCGGATGTGATTTGATAGGTTTCTGCATCGATTGTAGAATTGAAGTTTGAATTAGACGGTGATTCGTGTTTTAAGAATTGTTTACTGTGATTTAAAGGCTCGACTAAGTTTGTATGATGTCTTAGGACTTGTTGGTACATTTGGTTGGGGCTCCGGGGGCCTCGGGTGGATTACGAACGGTTAACAGATCGAATTATGTTTGGGGGAACCGCACCTGCGAGGTTAGGACCGCAGGTGCGGATCCGCATAAGAGGCCATGAGGGTCGTAGAAGCGGAGGCTAGCCAAAAGGTCTGGGCCGTAGAAGCGGGCATAAACGCGCAGGTGCGCAAGCGAGAAGCGCTTGGTGACCACAGAAGTGGACGCGCAGATGCGCTACATGGGGCGCAGATGCAGGGACTGTTGGGCCCAGTTGTAGCCGCATTTGTGATGGAATTTACGCAGGTACGGAGCCGCAGAAGCGGCTATTTAAATCGCAGGTGCGAAGGTCGGGTTGAGCAGTGGGAATTCTTTAAAATGAGGGTTTGGCTCAATTTCACTTCATTTCATTCATGGGAGCCAATGTTGGAGCACTTTCGGAGTGCCATCTTCATTAACTACAATAGGGTAAGTGATTTCTTCACATTTTGAGTTAAATACATGATTTTTATATGGATTCAAGCATGAAAATTTGTAAAAATTTGGGATTTTGAAGAAAAACCTAGAAATTAGTATTTTTGGATTTTGATCACGAATTTGGGCATGGAATTGAGAATGAATCATTTATTTGAGTTCATAATGTTATGGTTAATGTTTATCTTCGAAATGTTTCGGAATCCGGGCACGTGGGCCCGAGGGGTGCTTTATCAATATTTCGAGCGGAGTTGGAAATTATTATAAATTGATTAATTATGAGTATTAGAGTATATTTTGATTGGTTTGCATCTTATTTGGCTAGCTTCGATCGTTTGGCACCGAGTTGAGGATTTAAAGCATAATTTTGGACCGGAAAGTAAGCTTTGAGATGAGGTAAGTCTCCTGCCTAACTCCGTGAGGGGGAAAACTACCCATAGGTGATGGATTTAATGTGTGCAACTTGTTGTGGGCACTACGTACGCACGAGGTGACGAGAGTTTGTACGTAGTTAGATTCATGTTATTGTCCGGGTAGACTTAGGTTCACATCATGCTATAGCTGTACTATTTGAGCAGTCTCTCGCTAATTTAATTCCTCTGTTTTACATTACTACTTGGGACTAGAATTGCTTTTGTAGAGACTTCAAGAGTTCATGATTAGTCACCGAATAATGTTTCTCCTCTTACGCCATGTTTCCGGAATATATACATATTTGTTTCATTGAA